TGCCAAGGCTTAAAGCAGCAACAACGCTACACGTAAAAACTGATGATGGTGGAAAAATACACCGAAACGTATTTTAATTGATAAATAAAGACAATTAATGACTGAAACCCAGGAATTCATTTTTATTTGAAATTGAAACACAGTCAGGAAAGTATATACAATGATAGGTAGTCAATGGCACTCGATTTTTTTGGAATTTCCCTGATAATGAACAGCTTTAATTAAAAATCCACTCCTGGATGATCCAAAATCTTCTCTATAACAACAAGAGGAAAAATAGCCGCAATCACCATTTATCCAGTCGAACATTTGGAAGTAAAACCGCCGAACCTTTCGCTAAATCTCTAATAGATTCGATATAAATATTAATGCGGACGCATTTGAACGTGAACGCCATTTATTTCAGAGAGATAAACAGCCTAATGAATTGAACATGAAGACGAAGTTACAATTTCAATCCGGACTAAAAGGTTTCTATTGTTTGCTGATTTAACACCGGCCTTTAAGTAGCTGACTGACTGACTGACCGCCTTCGTTCGGATGGAGGAATCACAAGTTGGCCAATTAGAGCTAATGGACAGTTTTTTTGCGAAAAATCAATCAGCCCAAAGTGTGGTTGCTTACCTTTTAACGCCGGGCAGATTTGCTTCCAAATGGTAAGACAGCCACTCCTGTGGAACTGACCTAATGCCAATTCCATGTAGAATAGGGGAAGTCCTCCAAACACCAGCATTATGGTGTAGGGGATAAGAAAAGCTCCTGAAAATTCGCTGTTTTCAGACGTTTTTCACATTTTTGTTTTGCGGAGAATTTGCTTTTTATTGTCGTTTTTCATTGCTTACTAAAACGGGTTTCAGGCCCTTTTGGGTAAATAAATCCACGGAGTAATCTAGCTTTATATTTTATACTCGCCGTAAAAATTGATCGTTTATTAATACAAAAGGAAATGAATTGATTCGCACGCGTAAACAAGCGCCGATGTTTTAATAGAAATCCACAAGTTTTCGTTGATTTTCTGCTCACAAAAAATGATCTTTTATGCAAAAAAATGCGTATTTTGATGCTCTATTCGGAAATAACAACCGGAGCTTTACAGCTCATACGGTTCTCAAAATATCCGTCAATGGCTCAAATTTCCGCATTTTGCCTGAAAACTAGCAATATTTCCAAATAGACTCTTCATGCAAAAATATGGGCGTTTTCACTAAACAAAACTCAACCAACAAGGTTTGAAAGTTTACGCGGTTGAAAAAAATATCGCCGACGTTTTTCAAGCCCGAATGCCTGGCATCTTCAGAGGTGGTCGCTGCGTGTCCAACCTGGAAATTCCACTTTCCGAATATTTGCAGTCTTGGCACGAACAGCTACCTCTGAAGATGCCCGCCATTCGTGCTTGCGAAACGTCAGCAAGAAATAATTTTCCGTAAAAACGTGCTTTTTGCCTTTTTCTCGATTCTGTTGCGTTTTGCTCTGAAGCAAAATGAACAATCGCAGTGAAAAAAATAATGGCAAACGAATCAAATTCTCTGCAGAATTTACCGTTTATTATGCGACTATTACCGCAAACTCTGTAAAGTGGAGAATGATAGATAAGTGGATTTAGTCGGATTAAATTTCGGGCGATTTTGCGTTCAATAGCCGGCGATGAATTTTTCCTTAAGTTTGTTTGAACAGGCCATTGAAAATGCCCCCTTTTAATATTCAAAGACTGCTTATTTGGGGACGGTGGGTTTTAAAAGGGTTTTTTTTTTAACTTGAACTGCTGTATTATACACATGAGTGCGCCCATAAACTAGAGAAAACTTGGAATTTTCATCAATTTTCCTTGACTCCTCTTAGTGTTAGTAGCAATAATCCCAAAAAAACCGAAATATTTGCAAAATAATTACCTACCAAAAGAGATTTTCGAGGCCATTTCTTGAAACTCATGAGTTTTTCGGGTTTTTAGGCCGTCGTTCGGTAGAATTTCTTCTTGACGTTTCGCTAGCACGAGTGGCTTGCATCTTCAGAAGTGG